GGCTTGTTAGTGTCAAATGCCTGAAGAAAATTAAGATCTTTATTTGGGACAAATTAAGGTGAAAAGAGCATGATCAGGGTCAATCATTTTGTGCAGGTGTCCAAAGAGTGAGCAGTGAATTTAAAAAGACTCCCTTCCGGTTGCTGTTTATGCAGGAAATCTGGCACAGTCCTCAGGGTATGACACACAAGAGAGAAGTTTGAGTAATATTAGGAAAGAATTTAGAAGTCTCAAAACAAGGTCAGTGAACTCAAGTGCCAAGCACATGATATCGCTGGTGTCACAGAGAAAAGAGGTCAGTTCATTGCCTTATAGAGCTGTTGAACCCACACATTTTATGTGGCTGAGCAGTTTTCTCTGGGAGATGGTTTGCTCATCAGAGGTTTAGATCCTGTATCTTTTGAAAACAAGTGTAACTAGCATATTGAAATACCACACCTCATAATTCAGTAAAAATGCAATCATTTTTCTCCCACTGTCCTTTTACAATTTAGTCTCTGGGATAATAGCTCTTGCTCCTGCATGTATACTCTAGCAACCCATAATTTCCTGCTAATTCTTAGTTAATAGATGATCTATGGTCACTAAGTTACAAACATTATCCAGATGCAAAAAACTTAGGAAATCCAGTCCTGGGTGATACTTAAAACTTTGAACTTAAGTTGCTGTTAAATCTCCCTTTTTCTCTCTCCAACCTCACTTCTCCGAGCTTGGGCTGACTTCAGGATAGAAGCCTGCAGTGACATAGAGGGTAGTGGTCTTTCCATCTCTCTGCCTCCTATTTCTAGTCCTCCCCTTCCATCTTGAGCTGTTATTTAATCCCTACCAGGTCCAGTGGGACTAGTGGAGACAGGGAGAGGCAACACACAGGGAAGCTCTTATTTGAACCAGTACTCTCATCGCTTGGTCTCACTTTGGTCTAGCAGATGCCTTTTTCCCTTGAGATGTCATTTTCTTGGACTCCTCACAGCTTTCTCACTGTTTCTCTTTCTCCTACAATTCTCTTGTCCCTGAAGGATGCTTCTCTTATTTCTCTGTTCTGATTGTCACTTGTAACTCCTTCCTCGGCCCCTAGACACACAGTAGTGCATCTCCAAGCTCCTCCAGGTGGCTCTATTGGACAGAATCTAAGATTCTGTCTCAGGGCCCACGGCTTTTCCAAGGAACACTCATACATCCCTTGCCTGGGACTGATGTGGGTCCCGAGGCAGCAGCACTCTCCTGGTTCTGGCTCCAAAACAGTCAGTGTAGATTCCCACCTGATAGGAGTCCAACTCTAGCCGGTGTCAATTTCAGCTTTCTCAGGAGTGAATTGGGTACCAGCCTCTAAGTCCCTCAGCCTTAGGAAACACTTCCACTGCTCTCTGAGGGATTTTCTCCCCCTGTCTCAGGTTTAGAGGGTTGCACCTCCTCCCAACTCCCTGAGTGCAGGAAGACATGGCAACATAATGTCCCTCCCCACCAAGGAATCTCTCCTCTGATCTCTTTTATCTACGTTCTCTGACCCTTCTTCTATGTCCTCGATGTAGCTGAGAAACCCAAGAGTGGCTTGAAGGTTCTTGAGGCCATTTACTTTCAAAATCTTCATAACATGGTCTGGCACCTTTGTTTGGAATTTTACATCTATTATGTTTTGTCGTCTGGTGGAAACTTCAGTTTTAAGATCGTATTACACAAGTAATAAACAAACATGATTCACAGGCCAATCCAGTGGTGTAACGTCCGTCTTTACTAAACATTTTGATATCTGAGTGTTGTTACTGTGTTAAAAAAAATCAGGGCAGACAACTCTCTAAAGAGTCTTACTTAATCCTTGACCAGCTATGTTATTTAGCACTTCTTAACTAGAGCTGTAAGCGTATGGAGTTCATAAAATAATTTGGAATGAAATACTGTACTGAATGAATATTTTTTATGTGGTAGTAGATGGATCCCCAAGGGCATCACGTGTCTTGCCTGCTAAGACCTTTTCCAGCACAAGAAAGTGGTGAGCCCACCATTCTCTTGCTGTACAAGAGGGCAGGAAAGTGGCTTTGCGATAGTGAGCCACTAGGAGACAAATTCTCCCAAATGAACTCCCTCACCGGCTGACCACTCTAAACCCAGACTTCACAGGCACCATAATAACATGTTTCTGTGAGGTTTGAAGGGAGGAAGGATATCCTTACAGGGTTGCTTGAGTCCAAAGCAGAGAGAGAAGGGAAATAAATATCAGCCTTGGGTCCAGATGTGGCATAACCAGATTGTATGTGCTGCCGGCTGGCCCTGACCTTTGGAGTTAAGATTGAGAGCCAGAAAGGCTGTGTGTTGTAGGGATTTTTCCCTTTTTGTTTGCTTGTACAATACCAGGGAGGGAAATAGTTGAGTAAAATCCAAGTGTTTCTTTTATTTCACTTCTCTGGAGACCTTAATCATGGAATTGGAAGGACTTGCTTGATGCTTCATTTGTTAAAGCAGTGACTCCCTAAGCTGGTGTCTCCTCGCCTTTTTAAACCTGCACCTTTGGCGAGCATGAAAGTTTCCCACCTCCTTGAAGAGGCTGATTTTCTCCCTCCTCCCCACCTTGACACCTCCTTGAGATTCACATGCTTTGGGGAGTTATGGCAGCAGAGATGTCATCAAGCTGTACTTTCTATAGTTTCCATTACAAAAACAATAGGCATGTGTTGGCTTTCCAAATATATAAGCATGTATTATATAATTGAATGCACTTTTTCACTTTACATTGCACTTTTCATGCTAACAGATCACCATTTGTACAAAGTGTCCCTGCGATTTCAGGAGGCTCACAGATCTGTGGAAGGCCAGGTATGAAAACTCCCAAGGGGACTATTTCTCTTCATCCTAGATGACTCAGTCATGGCCACCTCAAGGGCTCTTTTCTCCACCCTGTTGGAGCCTTTATCTCTGTTGGAATCAGTTTTAGAGCTCTAAGTGGACTTAGAGATCATCTAGTCCCATCCTGCATGTTATAGAAATGGATGTCCAAAGAGTTTAAGCAACTTTTCCAAAGTTACACCACTATGTTTACACTGCAGATCCTGAGCGACTACTCAGGTTGCTGAATTCCCTGCTCATCTTTCTTTTTAATGTATTGTCAATTGCTTGAATCTTCTGTACTTTATCCCATCCCTTTAAAAGGTACCAACCAATACTACAAAACAAACAAATGCCAAGGTGGCAAACTCTGCAAAATACTTCATGTTCTTCTGTATATACTAACATCAAGCTTCCTTTACTTTATAGTGCCTCCACGGCTGAGAAAATACTTATTTGCCATGAACCCATATTTTAGCCAAGTATTTTAAATGATACAGAAGAAAAAATACATAACCCCTAATTTCTCATAGTTTAAAATTAATTGGGGAGACAAATGTGGTTCATATTCAGCTTGTGGCCACCTGTGATCTCTGGAAACTTTTTTTTTTTTTTTACAATGTTGTGTTTAATTTCTGCTGTACAGCAAAGTGATGGAACCTTTTTAAATGCATTTGTAATTTCCAACCCTCCACCCTTACTCTGTAACTTATTCTTCCTTGAATTCTTCTGTAGTTCATCTATATCAAGAATAATCTGTGAGATTGGAAGGAATATAGGCGAATTCACAGGTCATTTATTGCTAAATGTAGTCACTAGTAATATAAAAGCTCATCCAGCGATGAAACATAGCTAGTGTCGTTTTTTTCTAGATGGGGAAACAGGCTCAGCAAGACTACGTGACTAGTTCAGGGTTGCTCAGCCAGCGGTAGATGGAGCAGAGTCTTGCAGCCAAAGTGGCTGCTTGTCAGAGCCCACAAGCCCCCTTTCAGCCAAGAAAGCAAGAGTAGAATAAAGTAGGGGAAAGCAAATAAAGCAAAATAGGCTTGTTGAAAATTACGATTTTGTCACAGTGAGGTTATGAGCACATCAAACTAGCTGACTGTGAAAAGCTTTTGAACATGCCTCCTGTTGTGTGTGCTCTTCCTAAAGCTGTGTGAAGTTTTATGTGAGCAGGGCCCTTATCATGGTGGAGGAGGGATTTACAGAGGTGAATAATGGATAGACAGTGCTCTCAAGATATCTGTGTTGAATTCTCCTTTTATTTATCTAAGGACTGGGCCTGAGCTGGGGTAAATGCATGAGAGACATTAAGTCTCAGCACCTTCAGAGAAAAAAAGGAATTTATCATCCACAATTGTCATCTAAAAGCAGTTCCCAGGTCACAGAGTCTTGGAAAATGGGATAATGAGACTGCAGGTTTCTTTGGAGGAGAAAGTTGTTTGATAGGACCCATGCTCTTGTCAGACTCAGGTAGTGTTTACAGAGGATGAACCTGGAAATCTCGTTTGTTCAGGGTACTCTTGTCCCTAAGCTTTTCCCTATAAATCACCAGTGCATTGTGGGATCGTGTCACCTTTTGTATTTTTCCTTGGAGATGGAGGAAGGAGCAGTGGGGATTCAATAACTCCATCCACATGTAAATGAAAATTGTTTTGTTCAGTTGGGATGTGTCCATATTGTTTAGCCCCAAGGATATGCAAAATAAAACTTCTTAAAGTTTTCAAACAGGAAAAAGAGGAACATGTGAGAAAAAGATAAAAAACATACATTCTTCTTTTGACTTGCACTTTGATGGAGGATGAAGGCAATAGCCCATCCCCAAAGAAGTAATCCTAGTTTTAAAAAATCCTTGGTTCTCAAAAGCCTGGCGTTGCATGTTTGTTATATTTGTTCCTATTTTGTTTGTAAACGGTTTTAAAGGCATATGATGTAATGAAGTAAATGTTATTTTGCAGTTGAAAATTAAAGAGTTCTTTTGTATTTTAGGTCTTACAGGAATTCTCAGGGACAGTGAGGACTGGAGTGTGTTTGTATTATGGGGAGGGCAGTGAGGAAGATGAGGGGAAAACATTACAGCTCCTTCCTGAAGATAATTATAAGCCATAATCCCTCAATATATACATTTTTTTGCTTCCTCTGATTTGAAATAAAAATAGATTTTTCCCAAAAATGTATTTCAGGGCCCTCTTAGCATCTCAGATGGAACCAACATTTGCCAGGAATGTTTTCCCTTGTTTTGATGAGCCAGCTCTGAAGGCAACTTTTAATATTACAGTTATTCATCATCCAAGTTATGTGGCCCTTTCCAACATGCCAAAGCTAGGTAAGTAATGTTTCCTATCGTTGTATATGTATACATGTACATATATGTATATGTGTATACATATATAATTTATATAATATACATACACATATACATATGTATATATAATGTTGTATATTATATAATTATATGTTTACTTATATATTTGTATTTATATGTTTTTATATGAATTATATATGTGTATATATATTTAACTCTGTGATAGATTTTATATCAGTAGATTTTCTGGTCAGTGTGTTGAGAGTGCGTTATGACTGTAGTATATTATAACCAGGGAGGGCAGTCACATGGGATGTGCATCAGCACCCACATCTTGGTGACGGTAAATCCTGATTCTGCTTGTATTAGGAGCTGAGGACACTACACTGTTCTCATACATTGGCAGCCTGTCTGCCCGTTAATTTGGGCTTCAACTATTGATCATTGGTGATAACAAGCTAGTGAACTTGGTCTGAATCTGGTACATAGATGTGGGTTTGGTTTGGTTTGGTTTTTTTGTTTTGTTTTTGGCTCACAGTAGTTTTTTCTTTTGATTGAATTGGCATCCAGTTTCTTTTAATTCAGAGATTCCTCATAAAAATAAAAATTCTTACTTTTTTTTTTGAAACTCAGAACATCTAACAACACTGGCCCTGCACTTCCAAGGTGCCAGTGATAGTTGCCACTGAGAAGGGGCTACCTCCTTCAGACCAAGCCCATGCCCCTGCCTGCCGTGGTCCCCACCACTCCCTGTTAGTGTAAACCAGCCCGTTCACGTCAAGTACCCGGCCCTCACAGGCGCTTGAGTTTGTGATTTCAGGTTTAAAACCCACAGTGTGACTCCACTGAAGACCTGCCCGAAACCTGAGAATGGCAGAATTGTACCTTGTTGACCTACTATAGGCCTGGGAAGCTCTAGATTAAGTGCTGAGAGAGATGGACTGGACTAGGAAACAGTCGTGGATGGGAAAGAGAGGAGGTAGCTCATGGGTCTAGTTTACAGTGCCCGTAGATTTGCCCTCCATCCAGACCGTGTCATTCAAGGCGCTAATTCAGGACCGAGATACTGTCCTTAGGCCTTCCTAATATGTTTTTGATAGCTTGGGGGTAGACAAGTCCAAACTGCTGCACTCTGGGGAGGAGTTGGGAAGAACTAGCTGAGTGACAGTCGACTTGATGAATTATTTCAAAGGTAGATAATTGTGCTTATTATTGCTTATTTACAGTGATTTGGACTAAAATCAATTTCTCTAGGTCAGTCTGAGAAAGAAGACGTGAATGGAAGCAAGTGGACTGTTACTACCTTTCACACCACGCCCCGCATGCCCACTTATCTAGCCGCCTTTGCCATCTGTGACTACGAGCATGTCAGCAGGACTGAAAGGGGCAAGGAGGTGAGTGACGGAGACCCTCCAGGTAAGGGGACATTTGTACTGGCCGCGGACTGCTCAGGCACTCCTGCATCAGGGGCTATGCCTACAGACCCCACCGTCCCCTCCTGGTTCTCCCTCTGATCTCCCCCAAGCCCCGTTACCACTCTCAGCACGGAGTGGCAGAACGGGATGCAACGGTTCCCACTGCGGTTCCGCGGACGGGTTTCCATGGAAAGGCTGCTCATTAAGCCCACTCGAGGAAGGTTCTGAGCCCCCCCACTTCCTGGGCTTTCACTGCCTTTCAGAGTACAGGAGAGAACAGGGAAAGCGGGCACACTAGCATCTGAAAGCTCAGGTTTACCTGTTGTTGCCTTCGCCTACATGCTACTGCAGCCTTGAAGCCAGGGTGCTGCCCAAAATGTCTAGCAGCCACTATGACACAGACACCAAACAACCCAAACTGACACCAGCTGGGACAGCTGCTCTGGCTGAAATGCTGCAGGCAGGTTAAGCATCATCCCTATCAAGGAGCAGGTCCGCTGGGTTCCTCACCTCCGGGGCATGAACACTTCCCTAGGGTTGTGTAAATAGGTTCTCTGTCCTGAAACACCCAGTTTTTCACCCAATTATACTCTCTTTACATAATAATCCTTTAGAGAAATATCAAGGTTATTGTAGCAGTACTTTATAGACTGGTTCACTCCCTACGCTAGAGTGTGGAGGTAAGTAGGGCCAGTGCCTCAGGCCCAGTTCTTCCTAGTCAGATCGACTTCACCGGGCTGAGGAGAGTCAGGCCCTACAGCAGGCGGAGGCTCTCTCCTGGGCCCGTGAACTTCCAGGCTTGTGCCATTGACTTGTGGAGGCAAGGAAGCTGTGGATGAGCCAAGTCTGTCACCAGGGGGAGAATCGTTCAAAGCCCCTCCTCCTAAGGATGAATTAATAATACAGTGTTAGATGCAAACAACAACTCATTTTCCTCAGCTGTTGGATCCAGCCTGATTTCCCTTATTGAACAATCATTGGTAGATGCTTCATATTCACAGATATAACATGAGCCAAGTCAGATGTTCATGGCATATATTGATAAATCTACTCAGGCATGAGGTGGAAGCCCATGGTTTGTACCTGGCATGAAGGAGTGGGCCCGGAGCTCACGAGTGACCCAAGGTGACTGTCAGCATCGTCATCTCCAGTGGCTTGTTGCTCTCAATGCTGCTGCACAGTGAATAATTCTTATAAAGGGTCATACCTGTTTCTTCATGAAAGATCACCCTGGAAAGAAAGCCAGCCGCCACAGAAAGCAAAGAGGAAATGGAACATGCCTAAGAAAGTCATGGTCTTAGCCAGAAACTTGAAATTTGGGATGAGTTTATCAGTGGAATGTTGCACTTGGCTCTGGCTCAGCTCTGGGAAGTGAAGGAGTCCATCATATACTCTACAGGGAACCAGACTGTACTCTTGGAATAGCATCCAGACTCTACAAAGATGACTCATTAAGTAAGAGATAAAAATTTAGTGAAGTTGAAAATGCGGTTCATGCGTGGCATGAGGATAAACGTAAGACACGGATAACTAAGGTTGGAAATAACATATTTTGAGTAGAATTTATCACACGTGGACATGTGTAAAGATATTCTGCTCTTAGATGTTGAGGTCTGCTATGTCTAAGGAGGGCCACAAGGACACACTGGTGGGCTAGGTGTGACTTTGAAGGAAGCTTATGGCTGCGTTCCCGAAACGTCCTGCACCTGTTTGTGATCCTAGCTGCCCTGCCTCTTCCCCCACAGCTCGGAATCATCATTTGCCTCCCTTTTGGCTTAAAGAGTGGTTGTTTACGGGAGGAGCTTTGTAACCTGGAAATTTACATGCAAACATTAGTTGTTAACTGCCTTTTTTCCTCCCAAGACTACAGTTAATTTGCACACGTTATCCTGAACGTGGGGAAAGGCAACTGTTATTTCCACTCAGTAGCGTGGGCTCTGGTTTAGATGTCTTCCTGGCCTTGCCGTGGAGGTGAGAGCTTGAGAAGGGGCAGGTACGGGTAGCGGTAGTGTTAGGGGCAGGGCGGAGTCCTGGGCCCCTCTTTCCGAGGATAATGGGGCCTGGCGGGGAGGAGGCTGCAAGGAAGGAGGGGCTCCAGGCAGGAGGCTTCCAAAACAGGTGGCTGCATTTTGTGAAAGGGGAGCATTCCTGAAGCCCTCAGGTAATTCAAAAGTCACTTGATTCAAGACAAATTCTCCAGCAGAAGTAAAAGCCAAGTCAGATAAACGTGGTCGCGGAGGGCAGCAATCTGAAGATATTGTTGTGTTGCTTTTCGTTTTCTTTGCATTTTCTTTAATGTTTTGCAGAGAGCTCTTTCTCAAATTAACTGTATTCACGTCAGTATAATTATCTAATTCCCTCCTCGCTAACTTTCATTCTAGGGTTATAAGTTTCATATGTGTTTTTTAGCTAACACTAACAACTCTATTTAAAAGTGCTCAGGTGAGATTGGGGATACCATGACTTCATATTAAAATACCAATGAATGTTAAAACAACATCACATTAGTCACCAAAGTCACACAAACAAGTTCAGATGCCCAAACGACAGCACGGTTGTGCTAAAATAACAAAACACGGCAGGGATTTCTTTTCACGTACTAACGAGGAATGTCATAAACAGAGAATATAATTCACTTGCTTCAACAACTATAAAGTCATAAGACTTTTGATGCACTTTTTAAAATTAAGGAAATTAACCTTTTTTCAAATTTGGAAAATAAGATGGGACTATTAATGTTTTCTTTAACAAACCATTTTAAATTTGCATGATTCAAATTTGCTTAATATGTTCTATACTGTTTAACCCCTATTAACTGCCCAATTCTGGTTTGAATCGTTGGAAATATGTCCTGAAAAGGGAAACAAGGATCCAAGGGACCCTTTGTCTATTCCAGCATAGAATCGACATTTTCTGTGGGGGTAGATACCATTCCCAGGATTATTATTATTTTTTTTTACATCTTTATTGGAGTATAATTGCTTTACAATGGTGTGTTAGTTTCTGCTTTATAACAAAGTGAATCAGTTATACATATACATATGTTCCCATATCTCTTCCCTCTTGTGTCTCCCTCCCTCCCACCCTCCCTATCCCACCCCTCTAGGTGGTCACAAGGCACCGAGCTGATCTCCCTGTGCTATGCGGCTGCTTCCCACTAGCTATCTACCTTACGTTTGGTAGTGTATATATGTCCATGCCACTCTCTCACTTTGTCACAGCTTACCATTCCCCCTCCCCATATCCTCAAGTCCATTCTCTAGTAGGTCTGTGTCTTTATTCCTGTCTTACCCCTAGGTTCTTCATGACATTTTTTTTTCTTAAATTCCATTTATATGTGTTAGCATACGGTATTTGTCTTTCTCTTTCTGACTTACTTCACTCTGTATGACAGGCTCTAGGTCTATCCACCTCATTACAAATAGCTCAGTTTCATTTCTTTTTATGGCTGAGTAATATTCCATTGTATATATGTGCCACATCTTCTTTATCCATTCATCCGATGATGGACACTTAGGTTGTTTCCATCTCTGGGCTATTGTAAATAGAGCTGTAATGAACATTTTGGTAATGACTCTTTTTGAATTATGGTTTTCTCAGGGTATATGCCTCGTACTGGGATTGCTGGGTCATATGGTAGTTCTATTTGTAGTTTTTTAAGGAACCTCCATACTGTTCTCCATAGTGGCTGTACCAATTCACATTCCCACTAGCAGTGCAAGAGGGTTCCCTTTTCTCCACACCCTCTCCAGCATTTATTGTTTCAAGATTTTTTGAAGATGGCCATCCTGACTGGTGTGAGGTGATATCTCATTGTAGTTTCGATTTGCATTTCTCTAATGATTAATGATGTTGAGCATTCTTTCATGTGTTTGTTGGCAGTCTGTCTATCTTCTTTGGAGAAATGTCTATTTAGGTCTTCTGCCCATTTTTGGATTGGGTTGTTTGTTTTTTTGTTATTGAGCTGCATGAGCTGCTTATAAATTTTGGAGATTAATCCTTTTTCAGTTGCTTCATTTGCAAATATTTTCTCCCATTCTGAGGGTTGTCTTTTGGTCTTGTTTATGGTTTCCTTTGCTGTGCAAAAGCTTTGAAGTTTCATTAGGTCCCATTTGTTTATTTTTGTTTTTATTTCCATTTCTCTAGGAGGTGGGTCAAAAAGGATCTTGCTGTGATTTATGTCATAGAGTGTTCTGCCTATGTTTTCCTCTAAGAGTTTGATAGTTTCTGGCCTTACATTTAGGTCTTTAATCCATTTTGAGTTTATTTTTGTGTATGGTGTTAGGGAGTGATCTAATGTCATACTTTTACATGTACCTGTCCAGTGTTCCCAGCACCACTTATTGAAGAGGCTGTCCTTTCTCCACTGTACATTCCTGCCTGCTTTATCAAAGATAAGGTGACCATATGTGTGTGGGTTTATCTCTGGGCTTTCTATCCTGTTCCATTGATCTATCTTTCTGTTTTTGTGCCAGTACCATACTGTCTTGATGACTGTAGCTTTGTAGTATAGTCTGAAGTCAGGGAGCCTGATTCCTTCAGCTCCATTTTTCGTTCTCAAGATTGCTTTGGCTATTCAGGGCCTTTTGTGTTTCCATACAAATTGTGCAATTTTTTGTTCTAGTTCTGTGAAAAATGCCAGTGGTAGTTTGATAGGGATGGCGTTGAATCTGTAGATTGCTTTGGGTAGTAGAGTCATTTTCACAATGTTGATTCTTCCAATCCAAGAACATGGTATATCTCTCCATCTATTTGTATCATCTTTAATTTCTTTCATCAGTGTCTTATAATTTTCTGCATACAGGTCTTTTGTCTCCTTAGGTAGGTTTATTCCTAGATATTTTATTCTTTTTGTTACAATGGTAAATGGGAGTGTTTTCTTGATTTCACTTTCAGATTTTTCATCATTAGTGTATAGGAATGCAAGAGATTTCTGTGCATTAATTTTGTATCCTGCTACTTTACCATATTCATTGACT